AGAGGAACACAAAAGGCTGTTATTAGAGGAGTGCAGGTTTGATCCGGTTTCTTTATGGAAACATTCTGGTTTGTATATTTGTGTTGCAGCGGAGGAATACAACACGCAGTGGGACAGCAAACCTGATAAACATGTCCCTTACATGCTTGGTCATGTTTTCCACATTCTCATATCAATGAAGCCCTGCAGACATTAGTGGGATACTGAATTGTTCCCCTAAGGCCAAATTCTAACTAAAATTTGGCTTTAAAATGCCCTAGATGTGTTCCTGTTTCTGATGTGTCACAGACTAGAAAGCATCACTCTCTATAGGTAATCTTCTTGCATAGTACTTTTTTCTCCCTAACTTGTCCCCCAGTATTTGAAATATTTTTTCCTACTCACTCTTCTGTTCATTATCTAGTGTTTTTCCCAAAAGGACACTTTTCATGCTTCTTGGTCTTTATATGTGATTTATTTTCTTACCAGGTTGAGGGTCACAGCAGGATTCCAAAGTGCTCAGCAAGATTTTCCCCAAGGCTCGCTTAGATATGTTCTTTAAAAGACAAAATAATATTATAGCACAAGTATGTCCTTCACCAGTTTAAATGTATGCAACAAAATCTATGCACAGTGTGTTTGCATTTGGAGATTACACCGAAATGAAACTGAATCCTGATAAAATGTGACATTGGCTTTATTGTCTAGCATTTCATCTTAGATGCTACTCAAATAATAGCAGTTTGTGGAGGGCTCCAGTTCCTTAATAAGGCTGTAGAAAGACAAATAGCAGTTACTCGGTGGAGAAACCCAAAATTTTCCAGAGCGTGTGCCTAAACAGATCTAGATGGCAAGGAGCATGAAGCGGGGCACAACAGAGGCTTGCTCTGCTGGGTCTGCGTTGGAAAGGGCCTCTGGGCCGGGCTTGTGGTGTCACCTCAGCAGGAGGCTTCTCGGACGCAGCGGCTCCAGGCATCACAGGGAAGCGCTTCAGGTGCAAACAAATTAGCAGAGATTGTATGTGTCAGGTGGCAGGCCCACTCCCAGTTGCATATTGAGATATAATAACCATTAGCCAAAGTGAGAGGAGTGTAAAAACTACTTAGGATTTGGATGGGTTTTTTCAGTGGTAGTTTTGTGTTAGAAATCTGTTGGGGCATTCCATAATGTGTCTGGAAAAACAAACTCTCTTAATTTGCTGTCGAGATAGTAATGCATTCTTTCTGGGAGACGGTCTTGCAATCAGTTTAATTAGCGCTCCGAGCGCCCGTATCTGCAGGGACTGGTGGGTCTTGTTAAAGCTGCGAGAAGTGCAACCAGACGGAAGCCGTTCTGGAAGAAAGACGACGCACCCGCCAGCAGCCCGGGCAGTACCGGCCTCGCTTACTGGCGCTTCTGCTTGTCTGCCCAGTGGGCACTGGGGCGTAGTGGGAAGCAGTTTGCAGCAGGCTGGGATTACACACGACCTCTGCAACCCAGGGTGAGGTTTTATTCGTCCTCACAGAGTGTGCATTTGCCTTTGGACAGCCATTGCTTTGTAGCAGGTTCTGTTGCAAATGAGATGCTCGGGGCATTTAAAACACGAATGTGAACATGGTGGGGAAGTGACACCTAAAACCGCAGTTTCTGATGAATAAGCTTTCTTTTGTCTGAAATGTATCCCATCAGGGATTTAGGGGATCCTTGCTAACCTCTCCTGGGAATGCTGTAAATTGTCATGGTCACTGACAGCATCGCTGCCTGTGTGGTGCTGTGGGAGTCGGCAGCACGCGGTGGCGTGTTTCCAGCAGCATTAAGTGCTGCCATCACCGAGCTGTGGCACACGGTGTGATGGGTCGTCTCCTAAGCAGAAGCGATTTGCAATAATACAGCTGACCAGGGAGTGACATGTTGAAGTCTTGACACAAAAGGTTATTATGCTTGTTGCCAATCGTAGTCTTTACTAGCTTAATCCTTCCCTGGATTGTTATTGATGCATGTGTCAGACTTGCAGTATGAAAGCAGTATTTCTGTGTCAAGTGCTAAAATAAGTTACCAAATTATGAGATACTGCACTTGTTCCCTAGAGTCATCAGTGGAGCCTGAGCGTACTTCAAACAAAGTAAAGTGATCACCGGAGGAAGCATTCTCCTCTTGAGCAGATTAAGCAGAGCTTTGCTGAAAATTGAGGAGAACCCTCAGTCGTTATTGAAGAAATTAGCTCCTAGCAGCCCAGTGGGGTTTCCAACATACTCCGTGTCCTGCAGATTATCCGATTCGCCCGTCTTTTGGCCAGCCCTTACCATGAGCATTCCCAAGCAGGAGGTTTAAACTTATTTTCTAAAGGACTGAACTGCCATACTGGCCACATATTTCTGGGGTGTTATTACATCAGCTTTTGTAAGTCCATGTTTGGATTATTAATCGGGTAACAAGCTTCTCATAAAAAATACCTTTTTGTTATATAGGAAGGAGTTTTATCCCTTTAATACTGACTCAGTGCCACTGTAGGATGCAGTTAAACAAGGGCCCTTTTCCAGAAGGAAAAAGAATCTTCTAGAATCCTTCTGTTTACTAGCTTTTTTGTTTCCCTTGTTCCCTCTAAAATTTTGTTTAGAGGATAATGAGAGCTTAGAGATCTAGATCCAAGGAGATCGCTAGGCCTCTTCTAAAAAAGTCAACCATAGAGGTCTAAAAGTTTTCTACAATCACCAGGCAGTTAGTTCCCAGGGCAAACACACATGAAAAGGTTGCTTGGTGTAAAGGGCTTTGTACAGAATAGGAGGGATGAACATCCTTTTTAGTTTGGAAGGGACACTGTCAAAACCAGTTTTAAGTCTCTGGGCTGCTTTCTTGCCATACCAAGTCTCGAAGTTGTTGAAGAAGCTGTAAAACGTCCATGAGCTTTTCTTCCACCAGTGACAGCCTAACTCTCTCAGTCTCCAACATCTGCAGCTCCATCTTCAACAATTCGGTCTCCTCCACCTTTTGCTGCAGCTCACCTAGCAATGGGCCTTTCATCTGGACAAGGACACAGGAAATTAAAAGCACTGGAGCTATTCGCTTTCTTGCCCAATAATTGCAAAGCTAAATATCCCCCCTTATCTGGTAAATGTCCGTTCACTCCAGAAGATTATGCTGAAAGGAAGAACATTTCTTTAACGTACTACAGAAAGTGAAGAATCGATAGTTGCTAGGAAATGCTTTGCTCCTGCGCATAATGGCAGTTCATTCAACACTGGTTGCAAGCAGATCACTCCAAAATTTTCAGTACTAGCATTACTGTTTCAGTTTTCTCATCTTCTGCATTCCTGTCGTCCTCTATAAAGCGTAAACAATTTGTGTGCCCTCACCAATGTGGTCATATTTTTGTCCTGCAACTCCTGCGTGTCAATAATCTGTACATTCAGTGAAATAAGAAGGTAATTAGCTAATTTCTTCCAAATCTTTTGGTTAAAAAAAGAGAAATGTCTTAAGGGAAAAAAAGAAAGGATTCTGGTTCTGTAAAACGCTGGCATGCTTGGTGAAGAACCAGTTTGCAGCTAAGCACAGAGAAGTCCAGATTCAATGAGACTTTTGGACACAACAGAAATCCTGGGTAGGAGAGGTCTCCTCAGACCGGGACCTTCCAAAGCTGAGCTGACCTGTCAGTTGTCTCAGACCTCCCTGTGAAAAAACGTGTAGGATTTGAAATGTTGCTTTTGTTTCGATGCAAAATGCAAGTGACCTATTTTGAGCTACAAAGCTCAAAATACTTCCTTGCAAAATTAAGTATCTTTGCTTGCCATAGACGCGGGCCTGTTGCAGGTGCATGGCCAAGCTGCTAAAAAGAGCCTGAAAATTATCCCCTGGAAAAGACATCACTTCAATATTAATTTTGGACCTTAGAGAGCGCTGATGGATTTCAGCTTTATTAATACAAGTAAACTATTTCTCAATGATTACTGTGCCCAGCATTCTGAAATGTGACACTTTTTGCAATTTCTTGTTGCAAACACAATCGAAACGTATTTATTAATAGTACACTGAGAAACCAAATCATATGGGGTAAATGCCAAGTTTGCTGGCTCTGTTAATCCCTTTTTGCTGTTATCTTTTGTCTTTTTTGCAGTTGTAGAAATAACCGAGGAGAGAACTGAACTAGAAAACCTGAAGACCTTAACATGCACACATTTAATGGATTTTTTTTTTGGTGGAAGTCTGTATCCTAATGAATTTTAACAGATGGGAAGGAACTTCAGTTCCCTAAAACACAAGTGTCATCAAAGTGAAAAAAGAAAACAAGCCCTGATCCACACTGAGCCTTCTAGCCAGTCATCTTAGCTTCTGACAGTGCTGGAAGTACGTGCTAGTTGGTGCTGATACCCCATCGGATGGAAACCAGCCCGTTCCAGTAGCTCTCCGTGAGCTCTGCCCTGGGATGCGCTCCCGCTCCTCTGAGCTGTACAACAGCCACAGAAGTTTGGGTCCCTTCATCTGGCCCACCTGCCAAACAGTGCTTTCAGCATCCCTGCCTGAGCACCCCATTCCGACAGCTACGCCAATGTTTTCCTGCACGGAGAGCCAGCTTGGTTACCCCCAGTGTGGCAGCAGCCCGACCGAGGCAGAACAAATGCTCCGGAGGCTGTGGGCAGCCTTCAGTGAATTAAACATGTGGTTTCCTTTATTATATTGCAGATTGCCTCCGTATTGTAAATATCACCTGGAGTAGGTACGTACTGAACAGGTGAAGTAGTCATGTTCCCCTGTACAGCTGAAGCAGCGTCATCTCAAATAGCAGAGAGGTAAAAGGGCCGTTGTTTTAAAGTGTAAAATAGACTTTCCCAACATGCAATTAGACACTCGGAAATCCATAATGGGTGCCCATCTATCCTGGTCCTCTCCCTGTCAGGGCTCTGCATCCGTGCCATCACTTGTGGTGAGTGATGATGATTTAAAAAAAAAACACCGTGTGTATGTGGCACTTTGGGACAGGGTTTAGCAGGCATGGTGATGTTGGGGTGGTGGTTGGACTGGATGGTCTTAGGGGTCTATTCCAACCTGAATGATTCTGTGATCCTGTGATTCTATCTGCAGCTTTCAGAACTGCGCTGCCTGGCGAGCTGCTCAGGGACTCCTCCGTCCTCTGCTGCGTCTTGCGGGGGGCCACAGGCCGTGCAGCGGGGCTCATGTACACACAGGAATCGGAGAAGATTTCTCTTTAGCATGCGTGCCACTGGCGGTGTCCACAGCTGGCCGGTGTCCTGGCCCAGCTTGCACGGGCAGTGCAGGCAGCACGCTCAGCCGAGAGGCCCCGGTGGTCCTTGGACATGGCATTTGCTGCTGCTGCCGCCCCCC